GGGTGTGGCAGCCTGGACCCTGTCCCTGCCTTGGGGCTTGGCTGACCCCTAGGTCGGGTGGGAGGGTAGAAAGGTGCACTCAGGGTAGCAGAGAGGACACTGCCTCGATGTCAGCAAGGTCGTTGCTGCCTGGCACCTGGAGGTGGACGCAGCACCATTGGGGTTACTCACTGTGTCTCCTGGGTTAATGGTATCACCGCAGCATAGGCCTCATGGCAGGATGTGGCTTGACATCAAGTCAGAACCACCCCCAGAACCAGACACGTGGCTCCCTTTCCTAACCCCGCCCTCCCCACCCAGCTCAGCCCACTTCATCCAAGCCCTGGGCACAGCAGGTGGTAGACACAGACCCTGCCTGGGGAAAGATGGCCGCCCCTCTCTGGGGCTGCAGGACAGCCCAAAGCCTGGGACCCTGGGCTCAAAGAAACTGCCCACAGTCCCACCGCAACCACCGCAGCTGTGGTGAGCTATCGCATCGACCTCTGGTTCCCCTGTAGGTTTTTGTGTTTAATCCCTTCCTCCCCATGCCACCGCTGGCTCCATGGGAACCCCCGACACCCCCTTCGCCCCTGATGGTTTGCTGCTGGACGTGGTCTGGGGTGGAGAACCCAGTGTAAAATGGGGGGAGGGGTACTTTGGGTGCTGGATCCTCATTCTGCATCTCCCTTCACACCCGCAGGCACCAAGAATAGCTTCCAGACGCTGGGCATGAAGCTAGAAAACATCACCAACCCCTGGAGCCCGGAGCACCGGCTGGTCCAGCCAACCCTAGAGCAGACGGGGTACTCCCGTGAGCGCCAGGCAGCCTTCCGCTTCGGACGGACTCTGCCCAAGTACCTGCTGTTCACCAGCCCGAAGGAGAACCGCTGGGGCCACCAGCGCAGCTACTGGTTGCAGATCCACTCCATGGCTGAGCAGGTGCTGCCGCCTGGCTGGCAGGAGGAGCGGGCTTTCACCTGGGCCAGGTGAGGAGGCCTGGGAAGCTGGGCGGGCTGGGAGAGGCTCTACTTTCACCTGGGCCAGGTGAGGAGGCCTGGGAAGTTGGGGGCCGGGATGACTGGAGGCCCTGCCCTATGTTTCCCTGAACCACGTCCAGCCCTGACAGGGGTGAACTCTCACCGAAGCTTTATTTTATGTCAGATCACACAAAGCAAAGCAAGGGGAGTAGTCAACATGTGTAAATGTTCTTGCGAGTTTCAAATCTATTTCCCTACTCGAGCCTTCTTTTGGCAGCACTTACTGCACCTCCCACAGCCCATTAGCTACCTAGGACAAAGGGAGGACTCTAAGGTCAAGCTTAATTGTGCTAGGAGGGCTCTGCCCTCCAAGCTGGGACTTGTATGTGGCTCTGCCACAGCTCAGTCCAAGGCTTGACTCTATTACCTCTCCCTACATTTCCCTGTGCCTGGGGTAGCTATGGTTCTGTCTGAGAATCTGGGTCTGTGTGGCAGTGTGTGTGAGTGTGCATGCATGTGTGTGCGTGTGTGTGTGTGTGTGTGTGTGTTACAGGGCATGGCTCTGTGTTTGAGGAGGGGAGTGGAAGGCCTGTTCTGAGCACCTGAGCCCCCGCTGACCCTGGGTCAGACAGACAGGCTCCCAAGACATGATGTGGAAATCGGGGAAAGCCACGTCACCAACCCTGCACATGTGCCCCGGGAGGGGCTGGGCCACCCCCATGCCCAGAGCCACCTGGCTGCTCTGCCCGGCAGGTACCCCCTGGCAGTGACCAAGGAGC